ATATTTCTATTGTCTTTGTGCTTCTTAAACATTTCTGCTGATTTCTGGTTCTTGGCTGAGGGGGGTTACAGTGAAGGGATTGGTCATGTGTCCCAATTGTTCTGCTGTAAAGAATCTTTGATTAAAGAGCAGCTTTGGGTTGGGTCTGTCTGCCTAGGAAGTGGTGCAAAATGGTAGCCTTGTCCACTATAGGGGGCCAGTACAGCTCACCACGTCTATTTTGAGAGATGTTTATGGTCTCTTGTGTGATGCCTGCCATCCAGGAATTGGGTAACTGTGTGTGAACAATGCTAAGCTAACAATTTTAAATATGTTTGGTCAATACTCGTGTAGTTCAGCAAAACAAACAGTGGGCTTGGCAGATCAACGCTTTTATAAAGCACCACTGCTTCGGAACAGAAACAAACGGCATTCCTTGAAGGAATGAATGTCACCCATTGCAGTTTTTAAGAGGTTTAACCTAAGATCATCTTCTGTTGAGAAATGATGGAGTTTAGCTAATTTGATTAAATCTTGTAAATAATGCCATGCACAGTCTCACATGTTAATGCATTTCAGCTTCTATCATTTAATTGTAGCTCAGTATCTGTCAAATGGACTAAGTTATATCCAGTTTTGTGAATGTTGGCTGTGGCAATGACTTTTAATCAGGTTGATTCCAAAAGTTAGTTTTAAAGGTGTGGAACACAGAAAAAACATTGACTACGATCGGGAATAAGATTTAAACAAGTTTTTCACGCAGGCTGAACATGAAAATAGTCTCCTACATCGATCGCCAGCATTAGCTTCTGATAGAAAATAGGCGGTGAAAAGCTTGGGGTCAACAAGACTGGCATATCTACATCACACTGCCATTTTAACATTCACGGACTCAGCCATCTTGACTCAAGACGAGAACGCTGTTTTTGGTTTGGCGTCCAACAAACGGCGAACTTCTTGGCTAGTAGAAGTTAACAGTTAGCATTAGTAACTCCACCGCACAACAGAAGTCCTCCAGGCTTGTTGTTTGTGGAGATAAAACAACATTTGCAACATAAACCGAGTCAGTTGTAGAGTCAAGCTGTTGTTAACCAATCCGAGACGAGATATCAAATTCCGGAAATAAGACTCTTAAAACCTCTGAAGCTCGGCTCTGATGACACACTTCTAGCTCCTGAAAGAGGGGCACCAGAGCTTTTTTTCCCCCCAGAGTACGACTTACAAGGCATTCATTTTTACCAGAGACTAATGTATGGACTCCTCCTTGAACCGTCACCTTATTGTGGTGGAGGAGTTTGAGTGCCCTAATGATCCTAGGAGCTATGTTGTCTGGGGCACTTAATGCCCCTGGTAGGGTCACCCATGACAAATTGGTCTTAGGTGAAGGGTGAGACAAAGAACGGTTCGAAGGATCTTTCATGGCGGTTAAAACGAAGAGTCGGAGTACCCGGCCCGGAGGGTTACCGGGGTCCCACCCTGGAGCCAGGCCTGGGGTTGGGGCCCGTGAGCGAGCGCCTGGTGGCCGGGCTTTCGCCCATGGGGCCCGGCCGGGCCCAGCCCGAACCGGATACATGGGCTCGTCCAACTGTGGACCCACCACCCGCAGGAGGAACATGAAGGGTCCGGTGCAATGTGAATCGGGTGGCAGACCAAGGCGGGAGCCTTGGCGGTCCAATCCCCGGACAAGAAAACTAGTTTTTGGGACATGGAACGTCACCTCGCTGGCGGGGAAGGAGCCGGAGCTTGTGGCAGAGGTTGAGCGGTACCGGCTAGATATAGTCGGACTCACCTCGACACATTGCATTGGCTCTGGAACCCGAGACCTGGAGAGGGGTTGGACACTCTACTTTGCTGGAGTTGCTCTGGGTGAGAGGCGGAGGGCTGGGGTTGGCTTTTTGTTAGCCCCGAGACTCTCTGCCTGTGTGTTGGGGTTTACCCCGGGGGACAAGAGGGTAGCTTCCTTGCGCCTTCGGGTCGGGGAACGGGTCCTGACTGTTGTTTGTGCTTATGGGCCAAATATCAGTTCAGAGTACCCACCCTTTTTGGAGTCCCTGGGACGAGTGCTAGATAGTGCTCCATCAGGGGACTCCATTGTCCTGCTGGGGGACTTCAATGCTCACGTGGGCAATGACAGCTTGACCTGGAGGGGTGTGATTGGGAGGAACGGCCCACCTGATCAGAACTCGAGCGGTGTTTTGTTATTGGACTTCTGTGCAAGCCGCAGTTTGGCCATAACGAACACCATGTTCGAACATAAGGATGCCCACCGGTACACTTGGTACCAGGGCAGCCTAGGTCACAGGTCGATGATAGATTTTGTAGTCGTATCATCTGACCTGCGGCCGTATGTTTTGGACACCCGAGTGAAGAGAGGGGCGGAGCTGTCAACTGATCACCACCTGGTGGTGAGTTGGATCAGATGGCAAGGGAACATGCCGCGTAGACCTGGCAGACCCAAACGCATAGTGAGGGTCTGCTGGGAACGCCTGGCAGAAGAACCTGTCAAGACGGTCTTCAACTCCCACCTCCGGCAGAGCTTTGACCACGTCCCGAGAGCAGTGGGAGACATTGAGTCCGAGTGGGCCTTGTTCCACTCTGCGATTGTCGAGGCGGCTGTTGCTAGCTGTGGTCGTAAGGTGGCCGGTGCCAGTCGTGGTGGCAACCCCCGTACCCGCTGGTGGACACCAGAGGTTCGGGGAGCCGTCAGGCTGAAGAAGGAGGCCTACAGGGCGTGGCTGGTCTGTGGGTCTCCGGAGGCAGCCGACAGGTACCGGATAGCCAAGCGGGGTGCAGCAGTGGCAGTTGCCGAGGCAAAATCTCGGGCGTGGGAGGAGTTTGGTGAGGCCATGGAGAAAGACTATCGATCGGCTCCAAAGAGGTTCTGGCAAACTGTCCGGCGCCTCAGGAGAGGAAGGCAGCAACTCGCTCACACTGTTTACAGTGGGGATGGGGAGCTGCTGACGTCAACTGAGGCTATAGTCGGACGGTGGAAGGAATACTTTGAGGAGCTCCTCAATCCCACCAATGCGCATTCCGAGGAGGAACCAGAGCTGGGAGGCCTGGGGATGGACTGTCCGATCTCGGGGGCAGAAGTTGCTGAGGTAGTCAAACAACTACACAGCGGCGGAGCCCCAGGGGCGGATGAGGTTCGTCCTGGGCATCTCAAGGCTATGGATGTTGTAGGGCTGTCATGGTTGACACGTCTCTACAACATTGCGTGGTCATCGGGGGCAGTTCCTAGGGAGTGGCAGACCGGTGTGGTGGTCCCCATCTTTAAGAAGGGTGACCTGAGGGTGTGTTCCAACTATAGGGGGATCACACTCCTCAGCCTCCCTGGAAAGGTCTACTCCAAGGTACTGGAGAGGAGGGTCCGATCGATAGTTGAATCTCAGATAGAGGAGGAGCAATGTGGTTTTCGTCCTGGCCGTGGAACTGTGGACCAGCTCTATACCCTTGCAAGGGTGATGGAGGGGGCATGGGAGTTTGCCCAACCAATCCACATGTGCTTTGTGGATTTGGAGAAGGCTTATGACCGTGTCCCCAGGGGCACCCTGTGGGGGACGCTCCAGGAGTATGGGGTGGGTGGCTTTCTGTTAAGGGCCATTCAGTCCCTTTACCAGAGGAGCGTGAGTTTGGTCCGCATAGCCGGTAGTAAGTCGGACCTTTTCCCAGTGAGGGTTGGACTCCGCCAGGGCTGCCCTTTGTCACCGGTTCTGTTCATCACTTTTATGGACAGAATTTCTAGACGCAGCCGTGGTGTGGAGTGTGTCGAGTTTGGTGGCAGGAGAATCTCGTCTCTGCTTTTTGCGGATGATGTGGTCCTCCTAGCTTCATCCAGCTCTGACCTTCAGCTCTTGCTGGGTAGGTTCGCGGCCGAATGTGAAGCGGCTGGGATGAGGATCAGCACCTCCAAATCTGAGACCATGGTTCTCGACCGGAAAAGGGTGGCTTGCCACCTCCGGGTCGGGGGAGAGGTCCTACCTCAAGTGGAGGAGTTTAAGTATCTCGGGGTCTTGTTCACGAGTGAGGGTAGGAGGGATCGGGAGATCGACAGGCGGATTGGTTCGGCGTCTGCAGTGATGCGGACGCTGAGCCGATCTGTCGTGGGGAAGAGGGAGCTGAGCCAGAAAGCCAGGCTCGCGATTTACCGGTCGATCTACGTCCCAATCCTCACCTATGGTCATGAGCTTTGGGTAATGACCGAAAGAACGAGATCGCGGATACAAGCGGCCGAAATGAGTTTCCTCCGTAGGGTGGCCGGGCTCAGCCTTAGAGATAGGGTGAGGAGCTCGGACATTCGGGAGGGACTCGGAGTAGAACCGCTGCTCCTCCGGATCGAAAGGAGCCAGTTGAGGTGGTTTGGGCATCTGGTCAGGATGCCTCCTGGACGCCTCCCCGGGGAGGTGTTTCGGGCATGTCCTGCCGGCAGAAGGCCCCCGGGTCGACCCAGGACACGTTGGAGAGGTTACATCTCCAATCTGGTCCAGGAACGCCTTGGGGTCCTGCCGGAGGAGCTGGTGGACAAGGCCGGGGAGAGGACGGCCTGGAGCTCCCTAGTTGGGATGCTGCCCCCGCGACCCGGACCCGGATAAGCGGAGGAAGACGAGACGAGACGAGAGACTAATGTATGGATTAAATGAGTGAACCAAACCTTTAAAAGATTTGTTGCAATCAGAAAATCAGCTAAATAATTGAGCCAAGTCACAATGTAATGAGACCAGAGGTTTAAAAATAGCTAGCTGATGACTACAATGGTTATGATCTGTATTTGCAAACTTCAGTAATAAATCATGTCACTTTTCCCTGTAGTTTATGCATTACTAACAAGTATCGTTTTCCCAAATGTTCTCAAATCCAAACACACACATTTCTTTCTCCCTCATTTGTTTCAGAAGATATTCTAAACTCTGCCTTCACTTTTCAACGTTGCCAACAATTCCAACCAGAGCTGTAGTCACTGCATATTAAGTTGAAAGAACATTACATAACGCAGCCCTTCAGCTATAATTCTCTGTTTTCAGTGGGACTGTGAAGCTGCAATTTCGCAGTGGAATAAACCGGCAGGAAAACCACGAGACGGCAACGAGTTCCCCCTTCAGGACTGCCCGACTAAATCCAAACCGTTCAGGGTCTGCGTTTGCTCCATGTCTGAGCTCCCAAAGAAAACTGTGTGTGCAGCAAACAAGGGAGGCTCTGCTGTGAGCTGAACTCATCTGTTCCAGCAAATTTGGGATTATTAAAGAAAAGCAAATATTGACCTGGTGTCTGTCATTTTATTGCATGCTTTTATTTTACATGAAGCATTACATAACCAGTGATTGTGAAATGATGCCGGTGAGTTTTACTTTACCTTTAGGGGAACTGTAGGACAACCTTTTATGAAAGTTTAAACCTTCCACCAATAAACCGTATTATTCCCCAAGCTGCAGTTTAGGGTTATTGGGTCACATCCTGTATTTTGCTGGTTGTCCGGGGTTATCAGGGCTGGACTTGGACGGGGCCGACAGAGCAGATAAGCACCAGACCAGACGCCCAGGGCTTGTTGGCCCTGTCCATTATTCAGCAGACCTCAGTCTGTCTGCTGGCTCCAAGGCTTCAGAGGTGATGAGAGAGCAGCACAGAGGAGCATTTTTACCTGAATGGACTCTGATAACTAAACAATACACTCATCTAACTCCTCCCTGTTACATTTCCTAAAGTGACTTATCTGTCTGAGAAAAATGAATTGGGGAAATCACTAATGAGATGTAACAAAGCTATCGCTGATATCAGCAGTAGATTTAAAGATATATCACCTTGTTCTCTTGTAAACATGAGCAAGTACTTCAACTGGGAGATGATCATATTTGGGTATCTTAAATAATACATTTTCTATACTTTCTTTCGAACCGTTTGCTTTCAAATCAGAACACACGTTGCTGTTTTAATCGGTCAGATCTGGATGACGGTTGCTGACCTAGCAGTTCTCAATCCCTGGGCTTTATCGCCATCTCTTGTGAGTCAAAGCAAAACCAACGGATCCACACTAGAAAAAAGGTGTTTGCAAAAGCAAAGAAGAGCCTGGATTAGCACTTCTGAAGCTACTGCTCGTAGAAGGCCTTTTTGGTTTATCTGGGCTCGTGCGTCACTGCAAAGGACACAAGAGATGCAGGATGACGTGAGCCTGCGGGACATTTTGTCCACCTTGCAAGTTGTCCAAAAAAGAGGGAGGAGGGGGTGGAAAAGGTGTTTATGACTAACACAGTGGTTAGAATAAATAAGCCATGGGTAAATCAGAAACGAGGCATTCAAAGCTGTCGACCATTAACTCAGGATACAGTTTCATAATCGTGAGTTGCCTGAATGTGTAGGAAATTTGTTTTGTCATTAAACGATATTCAGTTTTTAAGAATAAAATTTTTTTTTAATTCTTATAATTTAAAAGTTTTGAATATTTAGCACTTGGCCAGTTTGCTTATTTGTTTGATTAACTTTAGTTAGATGTCTGATTTTAACACTGAGCAGAGCACAAAATTAAGATTTAACAGCTGGTTAAACTCCGTATTAAAAAACTAATACGGTATCACAATATCTCTAATTAAATTATTTCCTGTTATTTTACCTGTTAATTTTATTTTTTTTAAGTGTTTTTCTCCCCAGAAGAAGCTACAATGATGTTCTGCTGAGCCGTGGTGGCCTCATGGAGGGGGCCATCAGCTTGAACACTGCTGCTAACCACTTAAACATTCTCCCTCTCCTGATAATAACATTTTACTCTCCTTGACATGGAATGTGCTACTACTAGTTAACCTGTTGAATTAATTATAGATTCACTAAGATAAATACAATAAAGTTTATATCTCACTAAATAGATCATTTACAAAGAAATCGCAATAGCTGTAGAAATACTTCTTGGTGTGTGTGTGTGTGTGTGTGTGTGTGTGTGTGTGTGTGTGTGTGTGTGTGCGTGCGTGCGTGAGTGCGTGTGTGTGTGTGTGTGTGTGTGTGTGTGTGTGTGTGTGTGTGTGTGTGTGTGTGTGTGTGTGTGTGTGTGTGTGTGTGTGTGTGTAGTAAAAGGGAGTGGAACGGTGCCTGCCTGTTCATTTCAGGATTCACTTAAAAAACTAACTGCTTGTGTTTTACAGACTGAGTGGCAGAGCCTACAGCAACCTGAACATTCACACCTGAATGAAGAAGAGGCAAGACTTAACAATAAGGGTCTCTAGATTAATGTTATTTAGTGCATTATTGAGCATTAATATACTATTAAATAACACATTAACAACTGCTTAACCATATTAGGTAATGCATCACTAAGCATACACCCCCTAGCCCTTTGTCCTAACCTTAAGGACACTTAAAAACAGTAATGATAATGAGCGTTTATTAATGCTTAATAATGCACTAAGTAATGTTAATAACAGGACCCTTATTGTAAAGTGTTAAAGAAGAAGAATAAGGAGTCTAGGAGGAAATTTAGTTGGTTGTTGTTTTTATTTAAAAGTATCTATTTAATTTTCCCTCTTACCTAACCACTGTTAATATCATTCTGGTCTCACTATGATTTCCGTAGAACTCTGTATACCTCCTTTATTGTTCCTCGTTGTAGAACTGAGTCAGGGAAGCTGGCTTTTTCTGTTAAAGCTCCATCTGACCGGAATAATTTACCTGTTGTTATGAGATCCACCATTTCCTTTAGGCAGTTTAAAACTATGATTCATGATTATTTATTACCCATCTGTAGCTGTTTTTTGAATTAACATAGTATCATCATTTACTCATACTATACTTTTTATCCTAAATTTCTCTGAGCTGTGTATTAGTTGTCTCTACCATTTAGTTGTGTCGTTTGTCATCATATTTTTATGTAAATGTACTTTAGTACATTTGTTCATACAATTTATTCTATTTGATTAGCCAACTTCTTAGTTTTATATATATATTTTTTATTATTTATTAATTTCTTTATTATTATTATTATTTTATTGTGGTAGTGTTAATTTATCGTTTTGTTTTGAAATCAAATAATCGCTCTGTTATCTTGTCTTTGTATTTGCATCTTTGTTTCCAGGAGGACCCACTTGTAAACGAAATGCTTCATCTCAAGTGGTTTTATCCTCCTTAAATATAAGTCAATAAATAAATTAATAAATATCACAAGGAGCTTCACACGCACAATAGAAATGTAAAAACGATTAAAAATAAACATTTAAAAATATTCAATAAAATTTAAGATTAAAAAATAAGAATATAAATGAAAATAATAATAATAATAATAAAACAAGGGAGAGAGCCCCAAATTCCACAAATAAAATTGAGGACATTTCTAAATCCGCCAGGCTCAAAAGCAGATGTGATGCCCTTTTCAGTGGTGTCTTCTGATCTGGGGAACATCTAAGAATTAAAACTACCCAGATCATTTTGCCATTTTACTTCTTAAAACTTATTCATCCCTATTTGGGTATCGTGTTTTGACTTTAATTTTACAAGATTGATAAGTTTTTTTTTATTCATTTTTGTTTCATTATTAAGGTGGTATAGAAATAAAATGTGAACTAAACAAATCGTTCTAAATCTTTACTTTGATGGATAATAAATCAACAAACATGACATTTCTGATGCAGTTTTAAAAATTTCCCCATGTTCATTATAAAAAAAATGTGGCACATTTTCGAATGGGCCCTCTGTTGCGGTTCTAATATTTACTTTAGTGTGAATGGCTCGCTGCTCAGGCGTGTTTTTTTTTATCTTTTCACGTGACGTCACTTCCTGTCTAACATAGCCAGAGCCAGTTGAGTCCAGATCACTGCTGCCGTACGTAGTAAATCGTCGGTCTGTTTCACTGAGCTGTCATCATCGTTCGGGTTACCTTCAGCGCTGGCTGTCTGCTGCTTTGGCAATATTTTCCCACTGAACTCCGACCAGTTCCCGTTTCAGCAACGTTTTCCTTCAGATAACAGCTGCTCCCTTCTCATCATGACTCGAAGGTGATCTTCAGAGTTTCCAGGTGGTTCTGGGTGAGTGTGTTGAACTGAAATGTGTACGCGGGTTGCTTTCATCACGCTCCTCATCATCACCACCATGTGTCATTTTCTGCCGAAGCGCGGCTAAAGCTAAAGCGGTTGTTTCAGCTAGCCGGTGGTTGTGTGGATGCCAGCCTCCATGCTGCGGTTCGACGTCAGACAAGTCATAGTTAGGTGATGAGACACCGTTGGTTGTGAACATGAATGAAACAAAGTAAAGCAAAGAGTGCAAGACACGCTGACTGAGCCTGGAGCTAATGTTTTAGCCTAGCTAGCACTAGCCAGCTAGCAAACGTCCAGTGATCTCTTCTAATCTGCTCGAAGCATTTCCTTGGCTAATTGTGGTTTTAGCAATGACTCATGTTGTGAGCAAATAGTCGTAAAATGATCACTGATCTCATGTTTTACTTGCCTAGCATTAGGAAATGAGCCATGGTAAAGTAACATGACACTGAATCATCCTAATAAGGAAGATTCAGAGTAAAAAGCTGTATTTTAATAGTCCAAGTGATTTGTAAAGATGTCATGTGTTAGTTGGATGTGTTTTATTAAATATTGTTGGTTTATTAAAAATGTTTTTCACGTTGCCTCGGATCTTTCAACTGGTTTTCTTTGGTCTTAAAACACCTGCTGCAGTAATTTGGTCTCCATCTATAGAGCTTCATGAATCATCACTCATTTTATCTCAAAGCTCATCGGTGTGTGTAAGTAGAATAGAACTAAAATAACTTGTGACTTCCAAGCAATATAAAATGTAAGTAATTTAAATTTGATTGATGCTCAGTATTTAATTAAAAATAATTGAATACTTAAGGAAAGGATATTAAACACAAAATACTGTTCTGTGAAAACTTTGTTTATTTAATCAAACCATCTCTCGCTTTCACGGGCAAGCCTGAAAGAGTTATTGACAAGTGACTGATGACTGAATTTAACGTAAAGCCCTTGATTTTAAATATCCCATGACTGAATATAGGCTTTTGATGCATTAAGGATTTAAAATGTCTGGATGTGTGTTGCTCAGTGGTGCAGTATCGATTGTGATCCTGATTTAGTTGGTTATAGGAATGAGTGTTGCTTTTTGGTGTTTTTAGGTTTAAGGGATCACCTGAACTTTAGGCTCTTTTGATTTAGGATTACGTATTGTGGCAAGAAATTGGAATGATTTTGTAGAAATATGTTTTTGCAAATTAAAAATTATGATGTGACATAGTCACATTAACCCTGTAAAGTTTTCATTTATTGTCTTTGTCTTTTCCCTCTTTAACCAATGCTAGCGCTATGGCTGTTGTGGCTCAATCACAAAGGCATCAGAAATATCTTAGATTTGATATAACAAGTGCAGATCAATTTCAAATGTCCTATTTCAATTATTCCACAAATCTAAAATATCCCTGAAGCGCTTAGGGCAGACATATCCAAAGTGTGGCCCAGAGGCCAGTTGCATTCTTCAGGGTGTTTTTGTGCAATCTTCAAGTGCAATAAGAGTGGTAGAAGTTTCTCTTCATCAGTTCTTAAAGAAAAAAAATTTTTTTAAATAAATTTTTCTGATTATAATTAGGGTTGGGCATCGAGCATCGATTGGAACCGGGACGATTCCCGAAATCGTTCAAAGTTTTTTATTTCGATTCCTAGTATGCCGACTGGAAGAGGAATCTGCGGCCAATCTCCGAAAAATAACGTGATCTGCAAACTGTGATCAACGCTTTTCAGAGCTGAACACCAGCTGTCTGTCTGCAGCACAGAGTCCCCCCTCCCCCCAACCGGTGCGCAGTGGCCAAATATAAACAACCACGTCTGCCGAACTTTTACTCTGTGATGTCAACTTTAACTCCTGCAGCGTAGAGAAAACTTGCTAAATACGTCAACACGGTGGCTTTAATAGAAGCTTTAAAGAACAAACTGGATGGTGTGAGGTGAGTTTGTCTCACTGCAGAAATAAAAACACACACGGAGCGTCAGCAGTCAGATGCAGCCACTCACAACACGTGTGTGTGTGTGTGTGTGTGTGTGTGTGTGTGTGTGTGTGTGTGTGTGTGTGTGTGTGTGTGTGTGTGTGTGTGTGTGTGTGTGTGTGTGTGTGTGTGTGTGTGTGTGTCAGAAGACTGAACATTAACCTGTAGAATAATTAAAGTCATCATGCTAGAGAAGCTTCTCTGTGGTGGACCACACCAGCTTCTGCCACAATAAATAATAATAATAGTAATAATAATAATAATAATATAATAATAATAAATCACAGACAAAGTTGTGAACATTTTAATTTCCTTTTTGAACTATTTCTGTTGAGAGTTTTCATGTTTAAAATCTGTTAGATTGTTACTGACAGCAGCTACATTTAAGCTTCACTTTCTGTCCTGACTGAATGCTGCTGCAGCATGGAGGTGTAGTTCTCAGTCATCCTGGACATGATCATGAGAGTTTTAGCTGAAAACAGCTGGACGTTTCTGGATATGTTGGAGACATTTAGCCTCTCATCCCAGAGGCTTCTTCCAGACTTTGGTTGTGGTCAGAAACAAACTCACTGGTTGTGCTGCAAGTCTTTTTATTTTTTTCTCCAAAACATGTTTTTGTCTAAGTGAAGGTGATGTTGTTGCTCATAGAATTAAAATTCATGTTAAAGTTAAGATTATTTCATCAAGTAGGACCTGTGGTTAGCTGGCTCATGTAAAGCGTGTCATGTCTTGAAAGAATCAGAATCAGGAATTGATAGGAACCGAAATCGAAACGAGGAATTGGAATCAGAATTGTTCAAAATCAAACGATGCCCAACCCTAATAATTGGTCACTCTTGAGTTTTACATGCAGGCTGAACATGAATATAGGCTTCTACACCTATTCCCTGCATTAGCTTCTGATGAAAAATTGACAGTGAAACTCTAGGATATGTAAAGCCTGACAGATCTACGTCTCACTGTCACTTAACATTCATGGATTTAACCATCTTGACTCAAGACGGGGAAGGCTGTTGATGTTTTTAGCGTCCAGGAAACATCAAAGGTGGTCTCAAGTAGCGTAAGCTAACCATTAGCATGAACAACTACACCACACAGCGGAACTCCTTCAAGCTTGTGGTATTTGTAGAGATAAAACATCATTGCAGAGCAAATGGAGTCAGTGGTAGGGTTGCGTTGCTGTTAGCCAATCTGAATGAAGGTGTCCAAATATCAGGAAATAACACTCCAAATCCTGCCGCTGAAACTACTTAATCCTCCAGCTGAATTTTTGTGGTGATACTGGTGCTTCCATGCTGTGTTTTACCCCTGCGTATGACTTAGGACAGTGGTTCCCAACCTTTTTCCCAAGGGACCCCTTTTTTACCAGTAAAATTTCTGACAACCCCCTCCCATTCTCTCTTCCAGTACAAACAGTATTAAGAAATGATAAAATTGTTCAAGCACATTTTAATATGCTTTGATTCAATAGATAACAGTAATAGTAGGCTCCAGTACAGAACAAAGTCATTAACAAAACCAAACAGAGCATAATGTGCTTGACAGTTTGTATTACTTTTCTGAACACACTGTTTCTTGTAAACACTGATAAATCAATCATTCCTTAGAAGGCATTCATTCCTACTAGAGACCACTGCAAATGCATTGGTTTATAAAACAAATGTTCAGCACCTTTAACATTTTTATGGTCATAATTTAGTTAATGTCTATTTTAGGCATATGTTTGAGCAGTGGAAGTAAAATTGATCAAAAAATAATTGTGTGTATTAAATGTAAAAAAAAAAAAAAGAATTTTTGTTGCCTGCAAAGACCTGTAATCTGATGGGTTTTGCCCTCCTTCTGAAAAGATTTGATAGCCTAGCTTAGGTGATACACTCTCACAGCTTTTCCTCCTTTTTTAACTAACAGTTGAACTGCCTTGTTGCTTCTGTCATCCATGTCTTTCATACTGCTGCAGTGAGGCTTTAAAGGTAAATGTTTATGTGGCTGTGATGGGGAAATGACCTTTACACACAGCAAAACGATATCCACACACCTTGGTCTTCATGTTCCTTTAGTCGGTGTTCCTGCAGCCTTTCAGCAAATGTAAAAATCAGACATCTCTGTACATTTGATTAAAGAAGGATTTAACTAAATGCATTATTCTTGGGCTAACAGTTTTTTTATTGTGTGTGTGCAGAAATATCTCTGTAAATGACAGACAGACTTAGGTCTGTTCACCCTTGAACTTGAGAAGAAAGATTATTTTCTGTGAAAGATCTGGATGTCTTTCAGTTCAAAGTGGGCACCGATATTCCTCTTGTCCTTTTGAGCCAGCACCTTTTGACTTTTCACAGTTGAGCTCAAAGACATCAGCCTATGATGGAAGGCTCACTAGCATTGATTCAGAGTGCAGATGAGAAATATCCTGACATGATATCAGTCCTCTCGACAACGTTGCACCATTTGATGTGGGAGTCTCTCAGCAGTGTGATAGAAAAACAGATCTTTCATGTGCTTGTGTAGCGGTTTGCCTCCAATTGGAGCAGGCCGGCCCAGCGGGCTGCATCAGTGAAAGTGAGGACGCGTTTAGTGAAATTTCCAACAGCTGTAAAATTTAACAGAGTCCTACAAATCTAGGGGCCTGAGATTACTAGGGGTTGGAGGATTTGTACACCTCAACAATGCTGAAAATGCGTATCTCTACATCAGGTAGATTCTCTTTTCACTTAAAATGTCTCAACATTAAAAAGTGCTTACTTTCTGTCTGAAATACTGTTGGAACTGTGTGTTGGTTACCTTAAAATAGCATTTCGCTTTGTTTACATTTCTTCTCCCACCTGAACTAGTTGTTTAATACTAAGACTTTAACAGACAGGGATAGGTTCCTGTTCTCATTGACATTGTATCTCCCATTAAGAATCTTTATGTTTTATCAGCAGGTTAGGTAAGTTCATTGATTATCAGGCGGTTTTCTCGTTAATCCAGAAGCATGTGGTAAGACTTTGATCCGTAAGATCACTATTTTCCCAGTCCTGTTTTTCTAGTTTTTTCACTTCA